TCTATGCAAACTATCACACACGCAAGTGTATAACGTAACCTATAAACGAGCGGGCCAGACAATCGGGCGGGCCACCATGTATTCCATATAAAATAGCACTTTTATAATTCAATTATCTTAACAACCAGTGCTAGTAATAATCTGAATTCTAGTATATATATTAATTTAGCCCTGTAGATATATATATTAAATAGAGAAAACTCTAGATTTAATAATATCTTAGGTAATATAAATTACAGTGTATTTTTGGTAATTTATATACAATTATATTTAAAGTCTTAGAAAAAATTATTAAAAATTTACTAAAATATATATTCTATTTAAATAATCTACATTTATATTAGTATAAGATATCATATTGTTACTATCTCTGGTTGTTGAGATAATTGAATTATAAAAGTGCCATTTTATATGGAATACATGGTGGCCCGCCCGATTGTCTGGCCCGCTCGTTTATAGGTTACGTTATCCTTAACTAGCCACTGGATTACTAATACATTCTTTAGAACCATTATTGGTTTGGCTCCTATGCCAAGACCATCTTAAAATGGAATGGAGAGGGGCAAGATGATTTCCGCAGCTCATTGTATATTAACATTCTTGGCATTCTGATGGTAAAAAGAAAACGAATGAATATTATGTATATGACAAAGAAAATTGGAAAAAGGAAATCGGTAACTATAGATCAGAGATGCCAAACCACTGCACACTATCACTATTTGACCACGCCCTAAGTGATTGACAAACGCTCTTATGCAACACGAATCGCCGCTGAGTTGATTATATGGAGCTGGACATCATTTGCCATTATCTTGTAGCATTCTGAGATGGGATAATAAAATACCCATTCTTGTCGTCTCCATCCAAGTTTTACTGCTGATAGATATGTATCGTTGGCTAAATGATAGATATAGTGTAGTTGTTCCTCTTCAGTAAGTAGCCCTTCAATCTCGCTGCATTCTTCACATAATGTATATATCCTGATTCGACGTTTAGCCGGTAGAAAGAGGCGCAGAGTATAGATGATCGCTACTTCAAGTGCTGCACCAGGGCCATGGAACCAAATATCTGATTTCCATCTGCGATAACCGCTGGATTTGCAGCAGAGACAGCTCCACGAGACGTTCCCGATCATAGTAACTAATGAACTAGTTGTGTGATATGATTTGTGCTGAGAGATTTGTGAAGATATTGTTTTAGTCGCCGCTGTTCCTGATGAAAAAAAAAATGTATGAAAAAAAGAAGACAAAAATCAATTTTTCGTATCGTATATTTGTGGCGCTGTTCCCAGGTGGGAATGGGAATTGTCCAAAGCAATAGTTAAAAACAGACGTCACATACCAGGACACAAAACAGAACTAGTCGCGTAATAGGCACTAGTCCAGATCAAGCCTACTAATATATTAACCCTTCTTTACTTAAATGTCGCCCCCTTTAATGAGGGGCTCCCAAGACAACGGACTAGGCATTCTGTAATTGTACTGCAGAAGAGGATTCATCTCATCATAACTATTGCAACTTCGGGAAAAGTTGATCGTAGTCACGGGCATTATTATTATTGTATGCACTAATGGGTAGTGTATCCGGCGAAAAATCATACGAAATCCTCTTGTTGGACATCACTTACCTATGTTAATTAATTAGTGCACTGCAAACTAAATATAGGTTCAGATGATTGAGACTGAACAACCCTAATGTTCAGTAGGAGTGATTGCCCACGTAGCTGACATGTTCGTATACTCATATATTGCTCATCGAAACGCATTGACTGACGAATGATAGTTCAATTCTCTTTCCGGCGGAACGGTTCATGGGGCCAGTCAGGATAGCATTAAGTATAGAAAAACTCTCGAAGCATCTCGTTGTGTCATTTTCTCTAGTTACTGGTGATAAGAGAAAGGGTTCATAAACGTCTAATCACTTTCCTCTCGCTAAATCCCGTCCCTTTTATAAGACAGCTTCCGTCCTCTTTCGAAAAACTACATATTTCTGTTGTAAGTTCCTTCTTTGACAAGATACTCGAATCTTTGTTGGGTAATAACTCTACTTGGTCAGCATTGTTATTTTCCATTGTCTGAGGCCTATGCTTTGTCGAATCACCAGGCCTTTGGACATATGAAAAAGTCATGGAAGAAAACGTCATACTGGAGGACCAAGAAACAGTCGAACATTTTGAAGTTTTATCTGGCTGTCGCGAGGTCTCTGTTTCTCCACCGCTGACATCGGCTGAATACACAATCCATTCGAGTCTTGGAAAGCCTTACTCCCGTTCTAAATGCTCTTGCGGTGAATGCATAGCAGGATTCTTAAGTCCTCGAATGCGTGTGTTTTTGGAATGGCATGCAAACCGTTGGTGGTGCTTCCTTCGAGATAATATCGAGGAAGGGGAAGCCTGGACTCGGTTAAATGCAGAGAATTTGATATTCGCATCTCCCGAGCTGCGACTGGAGCTGGCCCAGCGTAGAGCTATGAGGGAAGGTTTTGCTGGTATCTCCGGGTTCATCGCAGCATGTTTGAGCTGCAACACTATTCCTACTGAAGAAAATGTTAAGAAGGCTATATACACAGAGGAGTTCCCACAGATTTGCCTGGATTATATTTCGAGAGGTGGAACAATTTCTCCTGTTGCTTCTATAATATTCAAGGAAGCATCAAGCGAGAACAATTGGCTGGATTATGATTTATTCCAGACTGAATACGAGGAAACTATGATGCAGCTCCCTGAATGCCGAAATGATGGCGAGTTTACGTTAGTTCAGCATAGGTGTGGCTACAGTGTATATTGAACAACGCAATCTTTCTTCCGTCATTATAGTTCTACATATCTGCAGATTTCTTTTCGACATCGCTTTCCACAATACGCTCTACAATGTCATTCCCAAACCTAGATGCTGCTCCAACCTAAAACATAAATAATTATGCGCAATTATACGAGTTACGTAAATTAAGGGCGCAACTAATGTCGTAACTTTCATCTAATAAAGTTAACGGCTATTGTATAAGTTTTGCATGATTTTTTGATGGTTTAACGTGGCTTAGTAGCTAGGGCTTGACAATAATATTAGAGAGCATATTGCCGGAACTGATGTTAGAAATCATCTAAGAGCGTTTAACGAATGAACGGACAGGGCGCCCCATCGCTTTTTATGATCCAGGTTCAAATTGATTAGAGCTTTTCCAGAAAACCGCATTGCGGGGCGATTCCATTTGGCACTGGGATAGTGTATGGATGGCACTGTTTTGTTTATCCCTATTGATATTGTTGACATAACTTTATTATTAAATAAGCTGATTAGAATGCTCCCTGTAACAGTGATCAACAAGAAATACTCTGTTGTATAGTACTGTATCTCCTAATAGAGAAGTTGCGGATTTGGGCCAAAGAAAGGGGTAAGGGAAAGGAAAGAAATTGTAAAAGAGAGAAGGCTTTCGAAACGGAAGGTAAATAATAGATCGTAAAATAGTTTCATATTCGCTTCACCAACAACGTTGAAAACACCTCCGCTGAGCTCTATACGTACCCGGTATACTGAAAAAATGAGAGCTATGTTGAACGCCAACAAGACCTGCACAAAACGTCGATACAATATTCCATCAACACAGGCCACGAGAGAGTTGCACTTGATAACGAATCATAACACTATCATGTGAGGTTATTCTCTTAGATGACCTTACTTCTACTTATGATGGTAGTTCTTTAGCCGACGCAAATGCGTAAGGGTAGTATGATAAATCCCGGTGCTTAAAATTGGGGAAGGGGTACCTATCTACAGACAAAATTTTGATGTCTGCAGCATATATGTAGGGTACGTAAAGTCATATGCGCATCCTAGAGCCCCATGCTCAACCGCAATGCTAGCGCGTTTTTACGGATAACGGGAGCCGACCGCCGCCACATTCATCTTTCATATTTTACGCTTAACAGCCAGTATGTTAGAGCGTCTACCGCCGTCAGTCTTAAAGAGGATAATTGCCATGGTAACTAACTCACCACAGTCCTGCTATTGTACTTAGTTAACTTGCATTATAGCTCGATCAGCAGGAGATAAGGGCACTTTCGGCTGTTTCTCGAGGATTATATGATATAACAGCGCCCGTCTTGTTCGAATGCTTGCATATCCCAATAGCACCAGAAAATGCTCTCTTACTTATTAAGAACTTTTTCCAGTGTCATTCTCGATTGGGCCGGGCACGCTCCCTGAGCTTGGTAAGGGATCTTCGATTTATAGTTGATGTACCTGAAAGGATTGGTCACAGAATCGCAAGCACTCCAATCCGAACAGATGGGTGCTTTCCCAAGAGCTTTGGCCTCGCAGCCAGACTCATTTTAGAACAACTAGCGCCTAGAAAGTTAACTGCCTTCATGTACGTCACATCTCCTTCATAAATCTCTATTCAAAGTTCTTACTTTACAGGTGGGAGTTCCCTTGGCTTCCAGGGGAAATATTGGGGTACAGCGGATACCTTCCAGAGCTGCAACCACAACTCACCTCGATTACGCTCTCCACTATCTCCCCCAATCAAAGAGAGTTCAAATCCCTTGGTCTTCCATGTGAGCAAAATGTTGACGGGCTTCTAAGGTTACGTTATCTGAAGTCTCTGTCCTGGGATGGAATCCATAGCGAAAGACAGATCAGGATACTTCGAAGATGCCTGCGGCAAAATTCAGAGCTTGAAGCCTTACACTTGAGTTTTTCCAAGGAAGTACGGGTTGATATTCTGCAAATAATTCCCGCAATGGATACGAAGCTGTTCCAAAGCCTGTGTGTATTATCACTCAAGAATGTGTTCTTCTCTTGGTCAATCTCTATTCCTCCGCTGCTTGCCTTGCCTTGCCTGGACACACTAGCTCTGCTAGATTGCGTGGGCACCTCTTCCCTTTCCGGTTACCTATTGAAATGAAGCCCAACAGCACTGTGCATGATTTGATATGTGCTAGTAGGTGTGGTACATAATTTACATGCGAGCTTTAATGGGTGCAAAAGTGACCGACAAATCGTCTTCGCTGCCAGCTTAAAGGGCGGCATTATTGGCCAACGAAATAGTTAAACAAGTCTCAAAACTACCATGCTATTCGGCCACATGGGATACAAAAGCTATCTGGTTATGTAGCGGGAAGCAAATATATGCCGACGAGAGATGGGTATAAGGAAGGAAATGACTGTCAGAGACAGTTCCGAACCCATCGAAACTGATAATCTGTATGGCACTCATTTCAACCATCAGTTTTTCCAACAAACATAATCCATCGTAGCAATAAGGTTTCTAACACATTGTAATCTCAGATCATATTGAATGCCTTATTGTTTCTTTCTAGCTACGGATTAATGTACTACTGAGGCTCCTCGAGATTTTGGGGGCCCCTTTTTACGAGACAGTCATCTAAAAGATTTTCAAACATTATCAGAATCCTGCATAGCAACACCCCTCACATTAATGATCTTTTAATAATACTTCTGTTCTACAGTATTCTCTATTCTCTGTTTTCTTTTATTACGTTGCTTACACGTCACCGGCATTCGAACAAGGACGTCTTCGGTTTATGGCAGGATTTCCAGCTGTAACAGTTTCCGTCAGGTACACTATTATTGGTGCAATTCTAAATTTGTTCTGATCCATCGCTTATTTTTCGCATCCAGGTGTAGTTCTTTCTTGCTAAAAACAAGGCCACCCCTGACTCTCACGCAGATGGCAGAGACTGAGATTGGCCTCATCCGCGAGATAGGGTGGCATCGGGCCAGGAATTCTTTGTATAGAAGATGTTATACTTTACTCAAGCAACTCCAGGACATTGTAGAGCAAGCTGTTGACGACTTTTTAAGGCAAAAGGGAGCAAATCCTGGGAGGGATGTTGCAGTGAGGCTTCAGCAAAAGCTGGAGGAATTGGCCCACTGTGAGAAAGAGGCACTTGAGGCTTGGAATGACCTTTTAAGAGATGTATAGAAGTTACAAAGTTACAGGAGAGAGATTAAGTGTATGAGTAGAGTGTTGTCTTGCTAGTATTTCTTTACAAACCCTGAGGCAATAAAAACTGTCAGCACATTCCAATTTCGCTCGCTCACTACTATTTTTGCAGGGCTTTTCACATTATACTTACTTTCCCTGTGAATTCAAATACGTCCTCTTACTAACAATTTATTTCCGATATAACTACAGCAAAGAGCTATGCATCCTCTGGGAGTGCTGTCTGAGTATGAGGAAGACAGGCCTACTAGTACTGTACTGGATATAAAGTCTCCTATAGTTGTAAATGATATAATAGAAAGATTAATCTAGAAATTTCCACATTGAATGTCGAAGACCGTTTTTAAATAACCCCAAACTATTTGAAGGTATTGTTTACCCTAAGAGTTCGCAAAGACCCCTCCCCCAAAATGCTTCATCCTTCTTTATTATATTCGCAACGCGGATCCAGAATTATTCAAGCGCCCATAAATAGAAAGCAGCGCCTGGTACGCACCTTACACAGTTGTATGATTATTTTCTATACATCCTCTCAGTCATTGTAATTATGGTGACTACTCTTGTCCTCAAATTTCCGGTCTGTATGTCTTATTGAGCTGACTTGACACGATGTGCTGATGACACACGCAGATCCCAAGATACAGTGCTTGCTCTTCGTCATCAGACAGAATTGAAGAGGTGAAGCCCTTTGTCGTCCCGTTTCTGTGTGCAATAACGGATCTTGCATAGGATTGGGCTTACTTTCCACTTTTCAGATTGCCCAAAGACTGGCACATAGCGTTATGCAAGTAACTGAACTTAACGAGTCCCAGCAACGGAACTTAGTGGAAGTATTATGTGGTAGATATCAAGAACTTTTCTCAGGTACGTCTATCTCAGTAACCTCCCGCGTTAAGTCATGCTTGTCATACATAGCTTAAATGTGATTACGGAACGCGCCATAGTGGTAGCTGACAATCAAGAATACCTCCTAAATTGAAGCTGACTGGTCCTTAAGTGCCATACATAGAGCCGACTGGAGTTTTACGAAATCTGTGTTCCAGTGCTTATCCTCAACCCTATTTAGACGATAATCACATGCTCATCAACACAACGTCAATGCCTGCCTTGACACGAGAATTTCGTACTGAGCAGGATCCCGATATTAACTACAACCAAGACCTCCCAATACAGAACAGCGTCTGCTTTGGAAATTATCCACTAAATCTAGACATGCCCACCAACAGAGCACCAATGCCATCCTTAACACCAGAATTTCGTACTGAGTGGAATGACGGTATTGACTACAACCAAGATCTCCCCATCCAAGATAATACCCCCTTCGGACATTATCCGCTAGATCTAGAGGTTGATCCGATCTTGGAATTCGTGAATCTGTCACCTCATCCAGAGCCGACGATGGACATTCCTGGACACACACCTTCTGCCGAAATCAGTCACAGTCCATTACAGGATAGCCCACAGCGTAGCCCGTTCAAACCAGTTGAACAGTCTAGGGTCACTGCATCAGTCTCACCCCCTCCATCACCTCTAGAGAAGGCCAAAACTAAGGTGTCCAAGCGATATCACAAAGGCCTCGAGATCATGTATGAGAAAGGAATTGAAGAAACAGGCCAAATAAACCCAGATAAGATTTCTCACTCGATACATGCAAGTTATTCTATCATAAGGTCGGATCTGGAGATTTTCACGGAAACTATATTGCACACGTGGCTTGAAAAGGGGCTTTGGCCACAAACTGCTCCCAGTGCAAGTGACGAGCTTTGGAATCAATGCTCGCTAGATATGATGCAACTGGAGATCGAACAAGACCCGGAAACGAAGGCTATTATGCGTCGAGTGGCCCAGATACGGATGTATTATTGGCATGAAGAAGAGAAGAAGAAGATTGAGAAGTCGCCAAATTTCGTTAAGGCAGACTCGGAAAAAAGCCTCCACGCCAGAGCATCTGATGCTTTCTTTCGGCATTATACTACTATATGGGACAAAACAGATGATAAATCCAGGAAAATTGCTCGTGAAAAATTCGATATAGAGATAGAGACGGGTAAAAAGTGGTGTGAGTTGGTACACTATCTCAGTGAAGGAGTTCTAGTCACGTGTGGTAAAAGGATGGATGCTGAAATGTGAGTAAATCCTATGAAGTAAAAAGTGAGTGTACTGACCCTTGAAATACAGTAATAGGAAAGATTTCTCGTCCAGGGAAGTGCGCGTGCTTTCCAGCTTTATCCTCAATTGCTACCCGGGGGTTCTAGATTTATGTCGCTGTTTCGATACTGTAGTAAGCAGATTTATACAAAAGGGTGTGTTTAGAGAGGATGAACTTCGTGCCTGGGAAGGTGAAATAAGCTCGGAAGTGTTGAAAGATGGTCTAAATCTAATGAAAAGAGACCCTAAGATGCCCTTGTATTGGACCCCTACTGCCGAGCCTTCCGAAGGTGATCGTTGTAGCTTTATTCGAAAAGCACTTCGTTGCGATCGCTCTTTTGCCAATTGAGTACATGACTGTTTAACTTCTCCATTTCTGTTTTCAGTACTGTTAGCAAGTTCCTCATCGTATAGAAAATAGCACCAAGTGAGAGCAATTTAGACATCTACCCTCAATTTCTGTAATGCCTTCCGAGTCTTAGATGAGGCTCTTACTGCATAGAGTGCCTCTACGCACAGGAAACAGCCACCCATGTGTTGGTGGACTGTCCAAACTTTGAGGGAAACCCGGATAGAGTCAAGGAAAGAGGTTTGCCACGTGTCCAATAGCGTATTGAGTTTGCTGAAAGGCTCAAAACAAGATGGGGGGTAAACCAGACATCGTCTCGAGAGTCAGGACGGCCAAGTCTTTACTAGACTTCGTTGGGCCGCCACAACGGCTTTGGAGTCGTGCGGCACAGGGGCAATCTACCGATGGGAGCGGCAGTTAGGCCACGAAAGGCCCTGATGAGGCTTTAAGTTCGTTTTCAGGAAGTCGAACACTCGCAGGTATATATTTGGATATATAGAGTTGTTGTAACCTATGCATCGTTCGCGAGGGGGCGAGGTAAATGATCTCTCTATCCCTCTACAGGCTGTCCGGATACCGGTGTCACCACTTACACTCTTTGATTGTTTCAGCAACCCTAGCGTGAAACAAAGCTAGGCTGGATTAGGAATGGAATGGAATAATGATTCTTCCGACTAGTACTGCGTCCTGTACTGACATGTAATATTACATATAACATATATCCCAGTAATTTCGGCTTTTAGTCCCTTGGCTTGGAAACATCTAGACTAAGAATAAGTGGCAAGTTGGTCATATTTACGGAATTCTCTAGAAATAACTGGATAGATCTTATTTGCAGAGAACAAAGTTGTTTATAAATCCTACCTATTCCTGGCCCTCCTCCTCCACAGAGATTAGAAAATAAGAGACTTAAGTGATACTAATCTACAATGTGGAATCTCATTATACAGACCCGCCCGTCGCTATACCCCAACGCAATTGTAGTGCCATTGACCGTATGAGAAGAAACTGAACGATACTCAGCAGGAAGCCACAGCAAAGCCTCACCTTTTAAAGAGATCCAAGCATTCGATAGGGATATCTGTGAGTGAGAAGTAGGTTTATTCAGAACTGTCTGGACCGAATTCAAATCGCCCCCGAGCGTCTGGCGCACTGTGCCACTTGTAATATCCCAGAACTTGATTGTTTTGTCGTAAGATTTTGACACTAGAGTGCGCCCATCGGGCGTGAATGTTATTGAGTGGACTGTAGCTGAATGACCCTTAAGCGTCTGGCGCTCTATAGCAGTCGTTGTATCCCAGAGCTTGATAGTATTGTCGTTCGAGCCTGACGCCAGAGTACGCCTATCGGGTGAGAAGACCACTGGCCAGACCTCACGCGAATGGCCCCCGAGTGTTTGACGCACTGTGCCAGTCGTTGTATCCCAGAACTTGATTGTTTTGTCGTAGGATTTTGACACTAGAGTGCGCCCATCGGGCGTGAATGTTATTGAGTGGACTGTAGCTAAATGACCCTTAAGTGTCTGGCGCTCTATACCAGTCGTTATATCCCAGAGCTTGATAGTATTGTCGTTCGAGCCTGACGCTAGAGTGCGCCCATCGGGTGAGAAGACCACTGAACAGA